TGCCCATGGAAAGCAACAGGGTCGTTGCTACACGGCCCCAGCGGGTGCTGAGGGATCCAGCCCCACACCCACTGGGATGCTGTAGGAGACACCAGCTTGTCTCACTCCTTACAATGATTAGCTCCAGGCACAGAGGAGTCTGCTATCCCGAGAATGTGATCTTGGTTATAAACGGTGTAACCATGTCACACCCAAAGCACCAATGTGCTGGCTGCTGTGGTGGCCAAGAAATAGGACACCGAGCTCCAAACCCTGATGACTGATAATACGAGAAGCCCCATCTTGTACTGAAGCCCCCAGAGTCCCTGGCTGGTGCTGTGAAGCCTCCAGCTCAGCCAATTCAGCCCTCAGGACAAGCCCAAGCGCAGATTCATCAGCAGAGGACATGCTGCATGCCGGGCTGTCCCCCTGCCATTTCCCAAGGACTCACTCCCAGCAGAAATGAAATGCAGCTCAAGTGTCCAAAGTGCTGAGAGCAGAGGCACATACAGAAAATGCATGCACGCATGGCAGAAAGATGACACAGTGAAGGATGAACACACTGAGACAAGACAGAGAAGAATGAACGCAGTTCTTTTTTCATTTTCTACATTTATTTTTATTGCGTGAAAGCGATGGCCAAGAAGTGAAACAACATATTGCTCTGATTTCCAATGGAAACAAACAATTTCTTGGCTGGCACAAAGCGAAGTTCAGTTTGTACCATGGTCACACTTTGTACGAGGCGACCTTCCTCTTCAGGGACTGAACAGCAAGGGACCAAGGAGCGGTACACTGGGTCGTGCCAGCTTATTCAGCCTATAAACAGAACAGAGCCAGCTTCTGCCTGCAAGTGTAGGACTAGTGTTTCACAAGCGCAGCGACTCCAGAGCATGCAGTATTAACCCATGTCAGGGGGACAGCAATGCAAAGCTGAGATGATGAAAAATCAGAGAAAGGAATGGACAGAGAGAACATAAAAAGCAAAGCTGCAGACAAAATAGAAGTAGAATCAGAGGGACTGACTGGAACACACCGATTTGTAATTTATTATTTATACCCTGACTTGATCTTCCACACGTTACTTCGTACTGGCAATCCCAACATGCTCAGTGCTCCATGTTATACAAACTCTGAAAAGACCTTAGAGCTCATCACATCCAAGTAGCTTTGGACGAACCCTGCCAAGTTCTTGAGTATCTTTCAGTGGTCTTATGCCAAGGTTGGTTGACGGTGCTCAGTACCTGACATAAAGAAGTCTTGTGGTTTTAAGCAGAATTCAAAAAAAAAAATTACGGTCTGAGCCTGCTCACCCTTACAGCATTGCAAAATTTGCCATTGCTTTCACTGGGAATAAGAGCAGAGACTTAGCAAGCAAACCTTGACATCAGAGCAAAAGACTCATGCAACTTGGTTTCAATTCCTCTAAGAAGGTTTATCACCATTAGGTTAACGGAGGTCATGACAACCTCCCTAGCTCAGCTGCGAAGCAAAGGAGACTAGTTCTGCAGTGATACCAGATCAGACCATGTAGCCCTGATTCTGCCTCTGATAACACACACAGGGAGGGCAAGAATCGCTGTTCAAAGCTGTTCGGGACACAGCTATCGCCCACTATCTCCCTGTTCGCAAGGGGTTGGTCTTGCATGTACCCTGGTACCTGAGGGGTCCCACTCACATCCAGCTTTCTCCATCTCCCACTTCCTGTAAAATCACACCACTAGTAAAAATGGATGAACAATACAAACAGGAGTGAAGAAGCTTCCTGGACCTCAGTCCTTCCCACTCAGTCCCTCTACTTCCACTAAATTCTAACAAACAAGGAAGCTTTTCTGTCCCCCCCAATTCCCTTTATTGGGCTTTGCAGGAATCTTCCCACTTCTGGTAATCATTGGCCTGGTCCAGCCACACCGGGGTTTCCCAGCAAAGCCTGGAATCTCCCTGAGCTCTTTAGCACTAACGTAGTTGTTTAGGTTGCCTCATTCTAAAGAGCAAAAGAGACTGAGCAAATGAAAAGAACACTACTTAAGTTGAAATCAGCTCTTAACACCTCTGCCCTGGTTCTTCCTTGCCCCTGGGCTATAAGCCAGTGACAACTGGAACTACCTCCTGTTAGTTTTTTGTAACAACAGAAAATAGAAGAGCAGGAAAAGGACAAGACAAGGAGGTTGGAGGAATTTGATAAAAGAAACACAAAGCCATGGCTGCTTCTCTCAAGCCCTCCTGCAGGCTTTTGCGAGAGACGGCTCTCTATGCCTGCACACCTAGCTCGTCACGCAGGGGAGTCACGGGGGAGAGCAGAGCTTTCCGCTGATCATCTCCAATATGCCAGGGGGCACTTGGGAGCATCATTAAAATTCAAAGGGTCACCCAAACCTGCAGAAATGCTTATCCTACTGTTCTCACAAGAAGTCTACCCCGCTCTTCTGCCTGTGGCTCCTTTGCACTGGCTAGGAGGTGCAGGATACTTGAAGTGAAGGGTGTGCTCCTCTCAGAGGGTGCACAGGGTGCACCCCTTGGGAGGGTGCACATCCCCCCGAGAGGATGGACGCCAGCACAGATGTGCTCCAAGGTGGGCCACCTCACTGTACTCCCTGCAGGGTTGCCCACCTCTGCTCCGAGGAAGGCTAATTTGAACCCAAAGGATTGGGACTGCAGAGCTTTACTCTGCCTTGTGCCATCCCACCTCCTGGAGGAGCATGAGGCCGGGAGAGGTGGCCAGGCTGCCCAACCTCTGGAGGGGGCTCGGGGCAGCCAGAAGGCATCCCCCCTCTGAGGTGTGCAGGGAGGGAGCCAGGGCCCTGCACCCCTAGTCTGGCACAGCCAGCAGCCTGGTTCCGGCAGCACTCCCATGCCTCACATGCCTGGGAAGTGACATCTGCTGCTCCAGAAGCCATGGCAACACGCAGGAAGCGGGCTGCTGGCAGAGCCGGCCTGGGAAACTTAAAGCAGCACTGACATCTTCAGGAAGGGGAGACGAAGCTCAACACCAGCCTCGGCTTGTCTCTTCCCTGCGCTGTGCCCTGCGGGGCTCAGAGCCTACTTGGGAGGTTCATTCTTGAGCTGGCTCCTGCGATCCAGCTTGCTCATGACCTGCGTGATGTCCACGGTCGTGGCGGCTTCTTTGGCTTTGGCCTCTTCTTCTTGCTGCCTCAGGACGATGGGGCTGGGGCTGGAGCGGAGGTGACGGCGTCCGAACGGGAAAGTGTAGCTGGGCAGAGAGTGAAAGAAAGAAGCAAGGCGTTACTGGAAAGTAGAAGGGTACCAAAAACTCACCCCTGGTAAGCAAACTTACCAGGGGGGCAAGCTCAGACACAGAGATGGACGTGCCACTGTCACCCGCACAACAAGAAGGAAGCACAAATGTGGACGAGGTGGTTTAAAGCAGGACTTGGTGACTCAGTGTCACACATCAGCTACAGAACTGCTAAAAGTGTAAAGTCAGTCCTGTTCCTGGTCCTTGTGAGGAACTCCAGGGCCAGGAGATGACCAGTACATTACTCCTTTTCTTTCCTGTAAGCATTTGCACGTAACTAACCCTCAGTGTGAACCCAAACAACTGCCATTGGTGGAATTTTTTCTAGTGTCCTCAGTAAGATCAAGATAGGGACCAGTATGGGTGTTTCTGGTGTCTGTGATACCCCAAAAAACACCTGCTACCTGCTTCAGCAAAGCCATTACCAGCAGCAGTGGCAACATGTGTTAAGCCACCTCTGGATGAGGAACTAGCTCTTTAGCTTACGCAGGATGCTGAGCATTGTGTCTCCAGAACAGGCACTGACACACATGAAGGTAGTCACCAGAGGTCAACCAGGATCTGCCAGCGACCTTGTGATGTGTGGCTCAGGGAAAAACTAACCATGACATGGGCTTTAGATGAAACAATAGTGTGAAAGTCCGTGATTCCTCTTTCTTGCTTGCTAGGTTGACGAGTGGAAGAGGAACAAAGCAGCACACCACCCAGTCTGGCTCTGACATTGCACGCTCAGCTTTAAGAAGCAACTGCAGTTCAAATGGCCTAAATTTGCTACACAATCTTCATCTTGGTCAGGAAAAAGCTGTTTCAAGCCTGCTCCTTCTAAGTCTGTCTACCTTGTGCCAGCAGTCACTCTCAGGTAAGATGCTGTTTGCTCCCATGTGGCTGCCTGTCACCTTCACTTCGCAGGGGGTAAGCGGCTCTGTCCAGGCAGAGCTGAGCAGAACCCATGGAGGACCCTGCAGTGGCTCTGTCTTCTCTGGCAGCCAATGTTTCATGGGTGGGAGTTGTCCCATGCCCAGTACACGGTGCTCTCTCCTTCCAGGAAAGGAGCTATAAGTAACTCGACAATCATAGCCCTTCTAAACAGACCCATCGTCAAGTCGATTCTGACTGCACACAAGCCACTTCCAAAGGGCTCACAAATAAACAGCATAATCAGTCTCAAAGCAAGGCATCTTCTTAGAAAAACTTTATTTAATTAAACAAACATCTAAATCAGTAATTTTGCTGCAACTCAGGCTTTTTCTACCCTTGCTACAACAAGAAAAACAAACCGCACAATTACATCCCATTTCACTTGCCTTTTTTTGACAGCCTCTTGTGGCACAACAGCCTTGGCCAGCATTTCCTTGTATACTGGAGACTTTAAGTAGCGACCATAGGAGTCCTACTAGGAGAAAAAAAGAGAAACCGGTAGTTATGGGCTGCAAACTCCCTTATTAAAATCACCACCAAATACAGCTGCTCAGCAGCCAGGGAGGCTGGGAACTGGATTATCTCCCCCAGCAGCCCAAGGGACTTTGCATCTTTCAGGCAAATGTAGCTATTTAAACCAATACTCTTTCATCTTGGTGTAAAATTCCCAGGATTTTCCATCTCACAATAAAGCTTCCCAGGTAAGATCCAGAGCAAAAGGTCTGAACTGAGCTTAGCCCAGGCCAGTGGTGTCTTACAGTCATTGCAAGGTGAGGTGCTCATGTTTCAGGAGACGAACTTTTCAGCAACTGTTGAAAGTCAGTATAGTTCTGCTGCTTTCAGTGTCAATACGCATTAGAGGCTGCCCTGGCCCATAATGCTCCTTCCCACTAAGTGTATTTTGTATCACTCATAAGGAGGAGTTACGGGTTGTTTGTGGTCACCGTGATCCAAGAAAGCCACGACGTACTGTATGGTGACATCAGCCCGCAGTCTGCTGCACCAGTCAGACCTAAAAAAGGGTGTCCATCAACATAACTGCAGAAAAATGTGTGAAAAACCTCAGTAAAATTTGAGATGGGCCACGTCTGGTTATGGTCTTGGTACAAAACTCATGCAGTTATATCACAATTGCTACTACCTTTCCCATCCACTGCTGAAATCCAGTTGGATAAAAGCATCCTACCACAGGGATACCTGATGTGGCACACAAAGTGGTACTAACTGAGTGAGGTTAAAAGATTTGTTCAAGCTTTGAATGAGCTGGTGACCAAGCTGGCATTAGAAAATAGGACTTCCAGCAGACACCTGACCTCCACCACCTTGGGGACATGCTGCTTTAGAGGGAAGAAGAAGCAGCAAAATACAAAGGCCTGAACCAGTGCTTGCTTAAGTCAGCAAATTTGAGGGATTTTCAAACAAAGGCCACTTGAAAGTGACAGCTGATAGCACACAAAGGCATGGAAAGGCCCAGAGAACTGGAATCCCCCTAAGGCTTTGGAAACAAATAACAAACCTTTTTCATCAGCATGTAAATGTGGGTCTGAGCAGCATCTAAAACATAACGATGAGGGTGCTTGAGGCCTTTGACCGTGATGCCCATTGTTGTGCCATCAATGTTGATCCAGCGCCTTGCTCCTGGAGCCAGGAAGAGCCTGCAAGGAGGAGTAATCAACAGTGCCATTAACAACTGAAGAATTCCTGGAGACTCCTCTGTCTATGCATGAAAGGGAAAGTTCCTTTAGCTCCCCACTACAATTTGCTGTCCTGATCTTGGGCAGTCAATCTCCTCTTCGACAGTACAACATGCAGTCACTTCCGCTTGCACTGTTAACACACAATATAAACCAAATTTTAGCCCACAGGAAGCAAAAAGGGTCTCTCCACTCTCCTCGTGGCAGCCCCAAGATCTTCGCTATTCCATACTTCTATTTAAATTACATGCTAAGGCCTAAAGGTAATAGTGGAGAAGAGAGAGGAAAAGTAACTATATAACAAAACAATACCTACGGTTTCATCTTCACAAAAGCTCCTTTCCTACGTGAGGACATAGGACAGCCACGTTTGATGACAGCTTACAAAGAAAAGTCTCAGGAATAAATCATTTGGAGAATGACAACGTGTGGAAGAAGGTGATGGGACTCACGTACAAAGACTTTAAGAATGTAAAATTACCACACTCACTTGTAAATTTCCTCTGCTTTTTCTTTGACCTTGGATTGGTCTCCATACTTGAGATCCTCACAGGCTTCCCAGAAACTCAGATTCTCTCCTGCGAAACAAGGACGCAGTCAGCAGAGAGTGAGACTGAGGAAAACGCAATCCCCTTTATTAAGTCCTAAACTGAGTTTGTTTGACTCAATATGTGTTGGCCCCAATTCAGTCTCTCCAATCTTACAGCCACCTTGAAAATCCCCTTGGGACTGAAGGAGGAAAACAGGGAGAAACGACGCCTGTAAAAGCTTGTGAATTCAGCCAGTTCCAGCTTGCCTGGGAGCAGTCCCCCAGCACAGGGAGTGCCCTGGACTGTATTTTATGTCCTGTGCCACTAGATGGTGGCACTGGCTGCGCAGCCATTGCCTCCAAAGTCACTTCTACTGCCTTTACTTCGTGACTTTGTCAGTCTCAGCCCAGCTCACAGCGCCTACTGCAAAGGCGTGGATTTCCACCACTGCTCTGTCTCAGCTGTGCAGCATCCTGCTGTGTGGCCTAGGCAGGGACAAAGATAGAGACACAGCAGACCCACCGCTGAACTCCTTCCTCAGGAAGAGCTGGAAGTTCTGCCGACCTTTCGGGTCCCGTATCAGCTCACTGAAATTGAAGGCCCATCGCTCCACACGCATTCTGGTAGGAATTTCCACTCTGCACAGGTTGAAAACAAACAGCACTGCCAGTTTCATGTGGCCCATCTAATTGGCAGATTAATTAAAACCAAAATGCCCTGTGCTGGAATGCCAAGAGACTTCTCAGCACACTCTGTTTTCCAGAGTGCTGTAATGATCTCCTGAAGTCAGCCCACTAAGTAAGCCATAATTAAACAACTTGGTACACAGTGGGATGAGGATTTATCTCAGATTTATGCTGCTCTCACAAAGACGGCCCAGCTTTGCCGGAGGTTTGACTCAGTCCCGTTCTGGAGGAGGCACTGGTTGTTGCCCAAAGCTTTGCTTCTCATAAAGGCATTCTGTGAAGGTATCCTTTGGGGCTGTCTAATGGGTTATTATCACTCTAACAGGATTGCTGGTCTCAAATGAGAACCAGTAATATGTTGTATGCTTCAAGCCCAGAGATGCCACTGTATAATTAGCAAATACTATCTGAATGGAAAACCAAGGGAGACCTCCGAGAAGGGATGGACCACCAATATGTGCCTCCAACACAAACTCTCTCCTAAGAAAGCAGCCTGAGGTGTGAGCAAAGACCAAGGGCCAGTAGTTGAACCCTGAATTGCTACACCATTGGCAGCACCTAATTTAGCAAGCTTAACACTAAACCAAGTGCTATACCTGAGTGTAACTAGTCATGTTCCATTCCTGTGCTAGTAAAAGTAGACTTTACTCATCCAAGGGGAGGATTAGACCCACTCAGCAGGGGCTGAGTGCATACTCCCATCATCAGTTTAGGAATTTCTGTAACGTTAAGGAAGGCTCCACTTGAAGAAGATAATGCTGGAAGTTCAGCATGGAATATTCCCAAGAGACAGTTTCTTTAGCATGGCCAAGCTATGTCAGAAAGGGAACGCTTCCCTGCTCATGATCAGAGACCAGATATCATGACGAAAGCAATGGTTCCCTTTTCTGATTTCTATCGGCATAAAGGTCAGTGTAAACCACAAGCTGGCAAGAGAATACAAATACATACAGTTTTGCATTGAGATCCCAGAACTCAGGGTCATCTGTTATCCAGGGGTTGCCGGGGAGACATCCAGACAGGATAGGATCACTGGAGAGGAACTGCTCAGAGTACTTCACAAGCCTGCAAGTAAATCCAGCAAAATCAAAATATTAATTCGTAAACAGAATTGCGGCCAGCCCCATTACAATCAAATAAATGGTCGCACAGACTATGGATATCTTCAGAGATGCAGCCCTCTCAGCACGGGGATCTGGAATGTGGCCCCTGCCTTACTAGAAAAACTGATTCATTAGCACAGTTAACCTTTTCCATTTCCCAAACAGTAATCTCCCAGTTGTCTTTCAAAGCAGTGATTTTGCCAGCTCAAGTGCTCGGAGAGACAAGACTTTCTTCCATCACCTCCTTTGCCTCTTCATTTCAAGGAAGTGGGACTAAGCTCCCAAGTGGTTTCTGTCTCCTTCTCCAGCCAACTGGCAAAGGCCTGATCCTGCACTGTTTTGTGCCACACATTACAGAGAGGAAAGTGCCAGAGAAGAGGAAAGCAAGCGCTGTATTCACTCAGGGTGGGTTCTCCACAGCCTTCCCGTAGGGCGTGGGAGAGCACAGGGAGCTCTGGGAGAGGTGAGGGAGTGCTGAGGGCACATCCCAGCTTCTCCTTTCCTCTGCTCACCTACTGCACGGCTCATTCCTCTGCAAATGAGTTTGAGGGCTCAGCACAAAGCAAAAATGTCTCTATCCTAGCAGGAACCAGACAAACACTTCTCCTACCTTCTAAGTTGGCCAGACTTGTAATTACAACTGATTTCACCAATGTCCTGGAATTTTAGCTTTCTCCTCCCTTCTTCATTCTTGAAAAAAATCATCTGGTTTCTGCGTTTAAAATTCCTTCCAGGCCAAACTGCTTTCATGTGCTCAAAGCTGGGAGTGCACTGTCCAAGGGCCCGTTGCTAACAGGCACCTTGGCATATATCCTGCAATTATACAATGCTACTGCACAAAGCATAGCACAGGTTTGGCACAGAAGTGCTCGTCTTCTCACTGGAAATGCCGAGGCATTCAGCACCTGCATAACTCACTCCAATCCATATATTCTAATCAAGCTACAAATCTAAACCTGTCAACTCAGGTAACATTACTCTGTCCTTTTAATGATTAGTGCTTTGCAGCACCTCCTAAATCAATACAATGCTCTGATGCATGCACACTATCTAGTTGCTGCTCTTATCCTCATCAATAATAATTTGATTTGGACCCAATCCTGCAGCTGAGATGGAGATCCAAATTTCCTGAGGATTTTTTGATCTAGGTGATACGCATTATCTGTCAGAAGACTAGGACTAATGTGTGAAAAGCTCCATTGCCAAACAGTTAAGCACCACAAAATTCCTGGAAGGTAGTCAGATGTCCCCAGCTCCAGCTCACAGTTTGGAAAATTGGGGCAGGAGAGTTTTAAGTGGCCTGGGAGTCAGTGACAGGTGAAATGAGCAGAACCGCTGGTGCCTTGCAAGCTGTGGTTCTCAGAAGACAGCACTACTTCCCAGACTCTTCCTCCCATTTAATTCATCCACGACTCTCTTCTCCCAGGGAACAGGCCTGAGCACCTTATTTATCTCAGATTCAATATGAATCTCTGGGTGGCAATGACTATGTAAAATAGGCTGGTGGTGTGGATTGCACCTCTAGGCAACTGGCCAGCACATAAGATTCCAGGTAAGAAATGCCTGTGGCAAATGCACTAATGGCTAATGCTAGGACTGGGAGCTTTGCACTTAATTGGCTACATCAAGAATCTGATCAGGAAACACTCCCACTGAGATGAGGAATTGCTAATTAATTGCTCGGACATTCATGGAGAGGCGTGTGTTCCTTCATAATACAGAATAACCAGAGACTCCCCCAGCTCTGCTGCCTTCTGATGAGCATCACCATACAAGCAAGAACACTCACTGGGGCTGAATCCAGCCCAGCAGGCTGGGGACCAGGGACAGGAGGGTCAGTCTGCCTCTGCTGCTTACTCATCCTGCACAGGAACAGGCACAGGACGGACACAGCGTTGCATCCTCGCAAGGCAGCCTCCACACAGCTGCTTTTCCAGACTGCAGAGCTGTGCTGGGTCCCAAGCGCCACAGTCCCGTTCTGACCAGCCTGAACATCTCTTGATTTCAGAGGGAGTCTCAACTGCAAGGCTGGCACTGCTCTACAGACATTCATAGCAAAGCTCCCCTTAGCTCTGAAGGAGACTCTTCATCATGACTGGGACTCTGACCCATCCTCTGCCTTACGCCTCCTGGCCCGGGCAACACACAGCCCAGACAGCACAAACACTGCATGCGGCCACCACATCGATTCCCCTGACTGAGTCACCAGCTGCCAGAGCAGATAGCTTAATCATCTCATTAGGAGATGAGCACTGAAGACTAATTAATGTGTGGACAGAAGGAAAGCAGGACTTACCCTCCGACAGAGACAGAAGATTTCACTCTGGGCTTCATGATGGCCTGCTGATAGTACATGATCTGAGAGGGATCAGACATGTCCATGGTTAGGAGCATGGAGATGTGAAGACAAGGCCACCTCTATCTGAACCTCAGACATGCCCTCTCCCAGGTAGTGAGGCTAACTACAACAAGGACTGCCTCTTCCCTAATTATTGGATGTCCAAGGAACCAGAGAATCCCTAAACTGTCTTAGTAAAATGGCTGTTTTCACTGAGCTTATTGCAAATGTCAGAAGAGCGTTTTGCAATGTGCAAGTAATTAAAAAGCACTCCCCATGCTATATAAAAATTGAATAATAGCTACCATTCTAGGCACCTACAAATGCTCTGGATGATATAGCATGTAATTATCATTGATCCTTGGCTGTCTCTACACTGGCACTGCTGGATGTATCTCCTATGATTTCCTCACCGCTAATTCTGATCTATTGGATTTTAGCCCTGGTGTCTGTCCTTGCTTGAGCCTTCCCGTCACTGGGAGAGCTGCTGGCTGCCTGCAGTGCAGAGGCAGGAAATGTCCTGAAAGCACAGTGACCAAAAGCTCCATGGAGCAGAGACTCTGCCAGCCAAACCCAGGCATTTTCAAAACTGCTCATCCCCTGTAAAGGGGGCTTTAAGCCTCCATGCAACACTGATGTAAGCAATACATGCAGGATAAACACCTAGAAGTGAGGGAAGGACCACTTACCTCTCTCCTATAAACGGTCATAGTTTTTTTCTGTAAAATAAAGAAATAAAACCCATTAAGTTGGGGTGGGTGCTTTCACTCGCCTTTTTTGAGACATGAAAACACCGTTGCAGGGCTGCTGTTGTGCAGCGCTCTCCAATTAATTCTCATTACAATTAAAATCAAACACAGCAGCTCAGCTAATCAGGGTATCATCAAAGTTAAGAGCATCCACACACCGTAAATCGTTCCATTAGCTGTATTTACTGTTTAGCATTGCTTCTTCCATCAGAGGCTGCCTGTATGCCTTCAATTAAGGGGTTATTCTAATGGAGCTAAAATAGATTCGTTTACGAGACACAGATTAGATCATTCAATATAAGCTAAAGGAGACAGGAACCAACACATTGCAAAATATAAACACCACAATTAAAAGCCTCAGAAGCAGTATCTGCTGTGCAAAGGGTGCTTACGTTGTGATTTGAATAACTCAGACTATGTTACATGTCATCCACAAATGAGCAAGCAATTGAAGGCAAGAAATTAACTGCGGGGTGTTTATTCACACAGCTTCCTTTGAAGCACAGTTACTTTGTGTGAAATAAACTTGAGGGGGGAGAAGGAAAGACAGGCTAAGTCAGGGATGCTCTCAGCAAGCCTTTAAAGGCTTATGCAGCGTTTCAGTTCTTCATCTCCCGTTTTAGCCAACAAGATCTGCATCCCAGAATTATTCTATCAAACTAACCCTGTGGCAGACATGGGTCTGCAGAATGCCTTGGTGAAGTGCAGTTTGTGAGTGATGAAGCATTTTGTATCAAATGCCACGGGCAGCCTGCTTCTCCCATCTTCTCACCAGAGAACCTGCACCCTGAGGTGCCCCTATTTTGGAAAAGGCAAGACGCTCTCCCAGGGCTGCTTTGTGAGGGGACCATTGTGGGGACACTGGTGCAGATCTGCTTTTGCATTTTAACCATTGTCACTAGTCCTGCTCAGGAGGGAGGAACTATACTCTATATGGAAGAAAAATATGCACATTTTGCTGAAACTTGGTTGATTTTGAGAGGGCACACTCACCATTTCAGCAGCAGGAGCCAGATATGCAGCAGATCAGCCAATCTGTACAGCACTACCATGAAGCCAGCCCATCTGATCCTAACACAGACCTAGCCTGGCCAGTGTAGTACTAACAGAAATCCTCACTGTCGCATTGCAAAGGGAGGAAGCTTTTTCTGCTGGAAATATCATGACCGGCTCTGAATGACTGCAGTGGGGACAAACTCTCAGCAGGGACAAACAGGAAAGCAAACAGTAGCTGCACCAGCAGCGATGATCTGCTGGCCACACACAAGGAACTGCGTGCGAGGGGGTAAGGGCTGACACATCACGGGGAGGAAGAAGCTCTTGGACAACAGGATCATTTGCCACAGGGCTGTACAGCCTCACTTGCTGATTCAAAGCCTCCTGGGACATCTTATAAGTGATGGAGGACACACAGACTAAAGAACAGCTTTTCACCCTGTAGCTGTACCCCTGATGCCAGGCCAGCTTCCATGCAGGCACCATTTCTTCCCCCCATTTCTACAGTGTCATCATTGTTTCAGATAGACTGTAGAAATGGGAGGCAAAAAAAAAAAAAAATCACCTGCTTGTGCAGAGAAACTCGCTGCATTTACTGTCCTAGAAGTGTCCTCTTTAGAGAACTTTGTTTCTGTTTCAGGCCAGCTATTTCCTGCACAATAGGAGTTCACTATCTCCTTGGGGAAACCTGAGATACAAACCAGGCCCCATCAGATTTACTAAGTGCCAGCTGAACTAACACTTCCATTTGATGGAACTTAAATGTGGCTAGGGCATTTACTTTAGGAAAATCAACACGTTAAAATCATTAGATGGTTTTAAAAGGCCCCTCATTTCTTCCTCTGTTTTGTCAAGTGGGTGCCTCAGACAGGCCTGGTGCAGTGGGGCGAGGAGGGGTGGATGCTGGCACAATGGCTTGAAGGCAGCTCACGTGGCAGTAAAGTTGTGTTATCTTCTACAGGGGTCTTAGAGGCAGGCAGCACACCACACACACACGAGACAAACAGCTGGTGGGAAAGAGAAAAAGAACCCAGTAAGTTAAATGATATGTAGAGCAAGAAAGGCATGAATTAAACTGCCATCACTACGGCAAAATTATATGTGGGCAAGTAAAAAAAAAATCAAAGCTAATGCCATGTCTGCAAACAGGGAAAGATTTTTTCCAAAGTGCATCCTACACCAAGGATCCCCTCCTGCCACAGCCTGAGCACGTAGGTCAGCGCTCTGGACAGCTTGTCCTGGGAAAGCCAATGGGCTTTGCTGGGGTGCTCCAGGGTGGGGAGGGGATTTCCAAAGGCTCGCACAGAAAAGGGGGCTATGGCATGAGAAGGGCTGAGCATCACTGAGTAGTGGCACACACTGAACTGGAGTGGAATCAAAGAGGAGCCCAGTGCTGAACACCCTATTGAGGGCTGCAGGTGCTGGCTGTGTTCAGTCCTTTCCAGTTCTCAAATCCACAATCACTGGGAAGGATCTCAGCTATTTCACCCCAGGGCCACACATCATTTAATTTCCCTTTCTCCCACAGTGCTCCCATGACCAGTTTCCAGCTTCGGTGCTGGTACAAGGGACCCTGAATACTGTCCGTGTCCTACTGAGCACTGCCAGTTGTCCCCACCATCCTAGCCATCCTTACCCACTGCTACTGACAGCAGCAATGCCAAACTGCCCTGTACCACCCACCCACCCTCCCTCATTTGGAAGGAAATAATATTTGGAACAAGAGAGTCATTTCTTATAATGAGATTAATTTTGCAATGCCCTTAACGAGTGACTTATCACAATTACAGTGGATAAGCTCCCCAGCCCTGCAGGCTTCAAATCAAAATGGCAATTAGTGAAAGACCTCGGTCTGTCTCAGGCAAGTGCCGTGAGCTGTAAACATCCTCCTCCCCGAGACACACAACAGCACTTGGACACCCTGCACTGCCTCGTCACACCCCGCTGCCAGCAGCTGAGCGCTCCCCATGCACACAGGCAGCGGCTTGCAAAGCTCAGCTGGGAGACAGCCAGGACCTGCTCAAGAGCCCTGTGTCTGGAGCCGATCCACATGGCTGAAGCCACGAGCTCCTACTAGAGCTGGGGCATCTGCTAATTTCCAGCTAACCATTTGCATGGACCTCCTCTGCTCTCAGTGTGGGTCTTCCTGACCACATTGTGGTCATTATGTTTTTGCCTGTCTGGCCACCATTCAGTGTTTACAGAGGCCATAAACAGCGGGATAACAGCTTTTATGTGTATGCCTAGATGGGGCTTGGAGTGAAGAACAAGCACAGGCCGCTGTTGTCCAAAGCTCATTTTGGACCAGGGCACTGCAAATCATGCCTGCGCTCTGCCCTGAATGCCACAGCGCTCTCTGTCTGTGCACACAGCTCGGCAAGCTGCGAGGATGACCACGGGGATCCTGCACAGAGCACCAGCCACTGAGCACGAGGCAGTGCCAGCACAGCTCGGCCTCCCTCTGCAGCTCCCTTTATTGCAAAAACCTGCGGGCATTGCCTCTCTGACACCGCAGTGGCAAACAGCACTCTGGCATGCACACAACTCTGTTTCTGTAC